CCAATCAACTGCAGATTAGAAAATAACTTTTGCAGAGTACGACTTTGGTCGTATGACCGAAACAATACTACAGTACTATAATACAGAAGTAGAGAGTGTAGGACTGACTGTAGGCTCGTTTGCTGAAATGGTCGATCGACTCGTTATATAAATATATATAGTTCTACTTGTTTGTATAGTTATTTTTAAGCACACACAACACACAGGGTAGTATTTGAAGGTGACTGGTCAGTACTATTCAGTAGTAGTCAGTACACAACTACACATTGTTGGGTAAAATAGAGCGAAGATATGGCGGCCGGTAACAATAAACGACCATAGTTTTCCGACCGACATGCTATTTATTTAGTCATGTCGTTTTCAGGAATTACACATAGGGATAATACTATTTATTTCAAAGGAGTTAAGTTACAATGTTTGTACATATGGTATGGCTCTCATGGCCGTTGTAGTGGTTTGGGGAAGATCGATGGGAAGAAGTGGACAGTAAATTCCCTGTTGAAGCTTGGACTAAGCGAGTCGACAATGGAGGATATGCGCTGGGTCAATTCAGGCCGGTGCTGATAAAAAACTGACACCATCGAGTGTGCCACGAATTCGCTTTTTGACCTACTAAATAGCGTACCCACCTCTGTGGTTAGGATCGGGTCCTTATTGTGTAGTGCTATGGAATGGGTTAGTGCAGAGTACGAAATGCCAAGTAGGACCAGGTTATCCGTCGTAATTCGGTTGAGGAGCGAAGTTGGGGGTGAACCGATGCCGCACCAGACCACGGATACACTCGAAGTATCATAGGCGGAACCAACAGGCGCGATGAATTGGGTTGTACCGAAATTTGGAAGTAGTACCTTAAAAGCGTGATTAGCCGTGGTATAGGAAACATCTGTTGATATGTCAGAGACGGGTGTGGGTACAGGGGTTGTTCTACACGCTGGAGAAAAGATCCAAGGTATTCGTGGAGGGTCCTGGCCTGTTTCAATTTAGAAGAAGTCTGATTTCTGATTTCTCAGCTTCTTTTGGTTTGTTATAAATAAAAAGAGGAAAACAAAAAAAATGTTGGCAAACTAAATGCGACGAATCCCTGATAATAAATAGAATTGTCAACGCAACTTCAGAGTTCAGAGTGAACTTCAGACTCAGAGAAACTATGAAAATTTCAGAATAAATCTTCCGAATTCAGATTTCAGCAATATTAAACATGCCACATGGTCGAAAATTCTTCTTCTGGGAATTCCAAATTTGAAAAGGTATTTTTTTAACTTGAAAATTCTCCTCGCAACGTTTAACAATTTTGTTTTGTTTAATAAAAAGAAATATATAGGCCAAATTTAGGCTTCTACTACTAGAGTCTTCTATTTATTAAAAAAATAAAGTCCATTGTATCTTTTTACTTTATTTTTTTAATATTACATCCAGTTTGCTTTCTTTCTGCTCCCAAGGACGGTGTGAAGTTGGTCGACCCCTTCTACTCGAGTATGTAGGATGTACTCAACTAGCCTCTTTTCACATATTAATTTAAAAATAATAATTATATATATATATATTTTTTAATTTTTATTGATGAAATTATTTCCTTTCTGTTCAAATTCTGACATTTTCTCGTCGTCCCACATAATTTGAGCTTTTAGTTCCCACCGTTGTGAATTTATTTTTCCCCAGTCTCGGTGACTCGGGCTTTCGTTCGAACAACCTCTTGTGAATAACTAAAATATATACTGTATCTCTCTCTCTATTCACTATTAGTAGCAATAGTGTATAGTATATGCTCAAGTTAAATACGTGCCGACATGAATTCGTACTATGGTGGTGCCTATCAATAAGAAGCTACTTCAGGCCAGCGACAACCGTTCGGCCTCGTTAGTTATACAGACTGGTTACGATACAACAGGTGAAATCTTAAATACACCCACCGACGATGATGTAATAGTACAAAGTGCTATCAGCAAGTTTTCATCTACCCGAACAGAATACGTCGTGGATCCAGAGGATGCAACTTCTTACATACCTCAGAAAACTTGGAATGTAAATTATCGACAACAATTTTTCAGAGCCAGTATATGGTTAATCGCGATATCATTAGCAGTATATTCGCATTTTGATTTGGTTCGCTTGCTTGGTCCAACCGATACCAATGAAAGCTATTGGGTGCAGTTTGCAAAGGCCGCTGAACCACACAGGACAGTCTTGAATATCTATTCAGCGGTGATCGCTGGGTTCACATTGATAGCGGCCATAATTGTGGCCACTATTGTTCTCAACCACTATAAGGAGCCCCGTTTCCGAATGCTGCTTCCTCCTTTTCTGTTCCATTTATGCCTGTTGGATCTACTTTTCCCGTTCATGGGCCTACTGCGACATCTTTATGGTATCTACTATTTAGAACTGCACATGGGCCAAGTAATGAAAATTATAGCGCTCACGTGTGAATCTATTGTCGTAACCTGTATGTTGTATGCTCTATTGGCGAGGATACGTGTCATGTACGCTGTGTACGTTCGGGGCGAGTACGACGTCGAGTATCACTGGACAGTGATACGGATAGCGATTCAATACGCAGTGTTTCACCTGTTCTGCCTCTTTTATTTAGGGCCTCCAAAGTTTTACTGGTTAAGTTACATGGGAATACGCCTCGGAGTATTTTGTATTGTATTGGAAACCTGTTACTACATGGTACGGCTGCGTAATACTAGATACGAGGCCGAAAACTATGCACAATTACTCTATATATGGGGCTATGGGTGTTTTACCTTCATTGTTCTGACTGTCGTGCTACCAGCTATTCACCCAGTCGCGCGTTCGACTGACCAATTCATGGCAACCTTCATCACTTTGTGGGCAATGAATGTAGAAGTGTTGGGACCAGCGCTGTGGTACACATTTCGGACTTCTATGAAGTGGGAATCTGTTGTGGCAGATAAACCGGTGTGCACAACGGCCAGAGATAGGCTCAGAGAGGTGTTGGCTGATCCGATCTTATATCCCATAATACTTTATTGTGCCCAAAAACAATTTTGTGAAGAGAACATCGAATTCTTGCACGATGGCTACTCTTTACTGACAGCTGTCACCAGTCTAGAACTGAAGTCGGCAACATCAGTATGTTATGTGAATAGACGTACGCAAGAATTTATAGAAGCATACGTGATGACTGGTGCGACCTCACTTGTGAATCTATCAAGCGCACACATCACAAAGTTTAAGCAAGTTTACACAGCAATTTGCGCTGCTGGGGACGGTGTCAATTTGGAGGAGTTGAAGTTTGAGCTCGTGCTTGCGCAGAGTCTGAGTGAAGTAAGCGATCTGATCACATCATCAGGCGTTTTGACTATGTATGAAAAGTCGGCAGAGAGAAAATCTGTTTATTCGGAACGAGCAGCGCTTAAGCGCTTGGAACTTAGAGAATAGCATAGAAAAATTATATACATCCGCACGCTTAGTTGCTTGGAACATAGAATAATATAGAGAATAATAAGTATGCACGTTTCGTTTAGTTTGGACAAACCCCGGCAGAGTTTCGCTCAACATGCGAAGTTAATGGAGTACGAACATTACGGAAACGCCCGCCTTTCAATTTCGTAATCAGATGCACTTCTTATTCATATTTATAGACTTTTGATCTGCCACTCGCACGCTGCAAACGACGGACAACCATTCACAACAAGTATACCTAAATACAAGGGTTGTTCTTTTATTGGAGGGGATAGGTCTTGTATGTGACGGAAATTGTATTCGAGATAGTACACACTACACATATACACATAATTGTTGTGGAGAGGCGGTGAGTGTTTACTTGCGATGCCAGTTATCGTTGAGTCGTCTTGAATGGCTCAGCAAATATGCGAAAGCTCGAGCTTTTGCCCATCGCATGCTGATATTTCGGCCTGTCAAAGTTACTACTAGGGCTGGCTATAGTACCAGTTGAGGCTACCGGTGTAGGTAGAAAGCTATGTGGCTTTCTTGGGACCACAAATGAGGACAGAGGTTTGTAGCCCCATTTTTGGTCTCTTGGGTGCATATCATGAGGAGAAAGTTGAGTTCCAAACTGTTCTTTAACGGCGGTGTCCACTCCGGGCGGGCTTAGGCTGAAACGCGAGTACATCTGCGCCATTTAAATGTGTGTATCACAGATTAAAGTAGATTCATAAGTTCATTCGACTTCAATTAATCACTTTTTGTTTTTGTAACTATGTGCGAGCGAGAGTTACTTGATAATATTGTTATTTTCCATCCCTGTTAGAACAATCCAGATGTGGTGTAGGTGGAATGAGCTGTGTTCGGCTACTCGCTTGTGCCCTACAGACCTCTAGATCAGTCGTAAGCTCACACTTGGATATTATATCTAGATATATATTTTGTAGGGGTAAATATAGATATATAATTGCACAATATCGGCCTGGGCGATATATCCTCTTTATCTCAATATATACACAACAAAACAAAATAAAAATCCCCTTTTGCAAATGAACGCATGATCATATACCTACAAAGAATTGGACACACATGCAATAACATCTCCACTCGTCCACAAACCCATACTCGGCCCCACACAGAACTAAACATATAATTAATTACATGGAAACGTACACACACAATTGTAAACACAGATATATACGAACATACATATATGAACGTACACACAGACATACACACACGCAAACACACATACACGCACACAGGTACACACACACACACACACACCTACACCCACACACACACACACACATATATA